GAGCAGCTAAGTGGATTTAACGATGTATATAGCATTATAAATAATATTTTCAAACATTAATTAAAAGTATTACAAAGTTATTGCCAAAAATATAGGTGGGTTATTTTTTAAATGTGGTGCAGGTGTGTTGAAAATAAATGGATATAAATGTAAGACAAGAGATATTTATTGGTTAAAACACTTAAAAAATATTTCATATGAATCAGACTTACTAGTTTTGTTTGTAAAAGTTACTTAACAGCATCCAAAGTAGGTTTTTATTTACATTGTCCACTTGCAAAACTCCAGTAGCCTACTACACACTGCAGTGATGCTGAGACAGTACCCAGATGGTCATATTGGCCCATAATTGATATTATACGTGTTATTATGCCCTATATTTGTTATCGCGATTGTGCTTTAAAAGGCTAAATAAACCATGTCTCTGCTCGCTGTCGTGCTGCACTGCAACAGCTGTAACTGCAACTGGATGCATTAAAGGAAATGTGCGAAGCATTTGTCCTTCATCGTGTGGCGCCTCGTCCAGAGTAGACAGCGTCGCAGTAGATTTCTATTTGTTTTGGATGCGTCGCGAGGGTATTACTGATGATGTTTGGGATCTGTGAATGATCATAAATTGTGTATAATCCTGAGTTTATCCTCATTCACTGATCCTGATGGAAATATAAAGAAGCCGTACTCGCCAACAATCTTTTGGAAACAGTTTTTTTTTTAACCACGCAAACAACACTTCAGCTCAATTTGAACAAAGTGTCCATAGAATGCAGTTACTTACAGGGGTGCAAAATGAATCTGCTCCCGCCCTGATTGTAAAGCAAAACGTGATTGGTTATAGCGAGAACGTGCTATGATTGGTCAGTGAAGTGTGGCTGTTATCTGATTGGCTTGAGTAGACGGTGGGTGGAGTCCATACATTTGTGGATTGTCAGCGTCTTCACGCTAGAAATGTTTCAAAATCCACAAATGTGCAGCGAGCGATCCACAAAAGCGTGCAGCGATCTACAAATGTACAGGATGTGATTCACAAAAGAATGGCAGGCAAAGTTGTGTTTGTGACAAATGTATTTGTGAATATGTTTTTTATTTGCAAATCTCATTTTATTTATTTGTTAATTTTATTAATGTTTGTGAAACTGAGATTTATTTTATTTTATTTATTCATTTATTTTAAAGTTTATTTGAATAGGGACAATAAAATAAACATATTTCCAGTCAAAGACAATGCACTGCACATAGAGATTATAGCTGACGCTAATTCGCATCTCTTGTCCCTAGAAAGGCTTTTCTAAAAAAATCTATACAAATATAAATAACCAAAATAATTATAACTATATATAATAACTATCTGTAGCCTACCAAAAAAATATATATATATATTACAAATCCTTAATACAATTTCCTCATACATTACAAACAGAATATCTCATTCTATTTCTCATTCTATTTATTTGTCAATATGTTAAATTTTTTGTAAATCTCTTCACATTTATTTGTGGATCATAATCTATTTATTTGGAATAATGCAACAATTCTACCCCCATAGATCTGTGATATTTGCTTCGCACATGCGTATTAGCGCCCTCTTTGATCGTGGGAGATTTGAAGTACATGCGCTTCCCCAATCCGAAGATATCGGCGAACGTTTTTTTTCTAAGGTAAGTTTTTCACTTCACCATGTCCATTCCAAGTTGAATAGCTTCTCAACCTTACATGACTGCTAAAGTTAACTTACATTTTCGTAAACTTTGTAGCAAATTAGCTCAAAAGGGAAATGTATATAAATCATTACAATGAATTATGATTAATTACAATTATTTATATCAGCTGCCAGTAGTAACTGTAGCAGAATTAAATTGCCCTCAACTAATCTGTTCGTCCAGCGAACATTCAGTGTAAGTTCATATCAACTCTAGGAAAGGATATTTTCGTGGCCACAGAAAATACTTTCATACAGTATTAATGCATTAGAGCATGTAGCGAGGATCAAAATCGTAAAGGGACATTAATTTGCAAGGCAGAATCAGAAACTCATGTAATTTGTGCACAAGAGTTTTATTAACTAAACACTAACACAAACTAGTCTAACAAACAAACAAACATACATACACTCAC